ATATATATATATATATTGTAGTTATGAGTATATGTGTTTTATTAATTATAAATAATTTTATTTTTAATATATATATGTATATATATATATATATATTTGTATATATATGTGAATTTATATGGATATATTAATTTAAATACATGTTTGGATATTTAATAATATTTTTGAATGATGAGTCAGCAGTTTTTTGCTGAGTTAGCAGTTTTTTTTTGCTGAGTTGGCAGTTTTTTGCTGAGACAGCAGTTGCGTTTGTTTGATTTGGAAAAAATTTAGAAGTCTGGGTATTTATGTGGGAGTTTTGAAAAGTTCAGATATTTATATGATAATTTTATAATTAGGGTATTTATTTGGGATTTTTGTAAAAATTCGAATATTTTTATGTGATTACCCTTAAAAAATATGGATTGAAATGTTTGGTCCCACCGAAATTAGTATTGAATTGTCAGCCGTAACTTTTTTGCACACTTTGATTACATTGGACCCCACTAGGAATATTACATGTTCAAACTGGGACCCACAATATTTCGGTCACAATGGGTCACAGTTGGTCACAAGGTCGATTTAGTGGATTCTTTCAAATGAATCGGTCTAATTGTCATCACATCTTCCATATGCACCATTTTGAACTATATTTAACTATAATAATTGAGTTATTCGAATTTTGTGTGCAAAAGTAGTTCTCACAAATGTGATACATTAGTGTTCATAGTCTTTTATGAAGAATTTTGACAATTTTGGTCTTTTTGTATTACAAACTCATTTTAACGTTTTGTAATTTTGCCATCAACATAATATTTGTATTCCTTATTGTTGGTTTAGTGCTCTATGATGTACTGTTATGCGAACTTTACTTAGATACATTTGATGTATTGACACTTTGTATAGTTTATGGATGAGTGTTTGATTCATTACGTATTGTGCATGCTTTAATATGTTATGAAATCCATGTATTGTTATGAACAATACTAAACTCCCTAGTCATGTATCATTGTGGGAATAATGATATAACAAGACTAGTATGATGTGTGATTGATGATCATATAGATGATCATAGGTATTGGATACGATCACAGTCATAGGTATTCGTTGGAGAACGGAATATTGGATGACCCGCATGAGATTGTCACATGGACTAGCGTCATGACTTGAATCTCATATGGCGGTTCCATGATTGGATCCTAAGACCTGAGATATCTACGGAATCCAACATGAGGAATTGCGTGCTTTGAATATGTCAAACGTCCTGCGTAACAGGAGGACTATAAAAGCGTGTATCACATACGAAACGAATCATGTGCTGGATTGTAGATAGTCAAGACGGGATTTGTACCTCTCGTAAAAGAGAGAGATATCGCTGGGCCCCTCGTGTGAGTGAGACTGTAGAAATGTGTGGCCGCACTATAGACGAACGTCGTCTATTTCAGACAGTCGAACTCAGTGAACGAGAAAGCAGTCGAATCAGATAAGGTGGTTTGTCTATGCCTTATATTCGACATATGATATCGTGATACAAAAGGATCATCAACCGGAATCATCACTGGCGTTCGTAAGATCACGAACAAACTCTATTCGAGATAAGTAGTCATAGTGTCTTGCTAGAGACCGCCTATGACTTGTATATCCGGAATAGAGATTTCGGGTTATACTGCTATATCGGATGAGCCTATATAGGGTCACACACAGGAAAGGACAAATGCGCGAGAAGAGACGAGAAAATCCCGGTGAACGGAGGCCAGACCGACCGGTCTAGAAGGTCTAGACCGATCGGTCCAGCCGGCAGACCGATCGGTCCAGACACGTGGACCGGTCGGTCCGGAGATAACGTGTGACAGTCACACGATCTGGAAAGTGTTCCGGACCGATCGGTCCGGACCTATGGACCGATCGGTCCAGACGTAAAAAGCTCCAGACCGATCGGTCCAGACCTGAACCGATCGGTCCAGACGTCGGGATT